CTGCACGGGGCGGGCCGGGCACCAGGGTGTGCGAGAGCTCACACAAGGGTTGACGTGTGGACTGTGTGAGAGCTCACACGAGGATGATGCTCACACAAGGGCCAGGCCAAAGAGTCCTTGTACGCAGCCCCCAAGAAAGTGTGCGTGCAGGGCGAGTGAGCACTCGCACGAGGACCCTCAGCCCTGTCTGCACACCAGCACGGGGGCAGTCACACACCCACAGAGCACAGACCATGACATGGGCACACTCGTGTACACACACACGCATGCAGACCCCCCCCTCCAGAGACAGCTACAGGCTTCTCCCCCCCCCCCAAGCCAGCAGGGAGAGCATGCTGTGCACATGTGTGCACACACAGCACACACGCAACATCACCCCCCCCATGCAGTCTTTCTCCCCCACCTAGGCACACATGCAGTGACACACACACACACACGCACCCCCAGCACAGCTATAACAGATGCACTGTAACATGAGCATGTGCACGTACACGCACATACACACCCTACAGCAGACACATACACTCCCCAATAGCAAACACACCGTGATACACACTTGCACCCACACTCATGCCTTATGGGAGATGCATGGTTGCACACTGACACACACATGCATGCATCCTATAGTAGACACAGACACACACATCTTATGGGAAACAGCCTCTCTCTCTTGCACACACATACACATCCTGTACCAAACACACAGTAACATACATACATACACACACATACACACATCCTGTAACAGACACTGTAACACACACACGCACACGTCCTATAGTAGACACAGACAGGCACACGCCTTGTAGCAGACGTATGCACACACGTGCCTTCCAGGAGACACAGGGCCTCACCCGCACACGCACGCATCCTGTCAAAGACTCACTGGGACATACCCCCCCACACACACACACTATCAGACACACACACGCACACATCCTATAGCAGACACACTGTCACACACATGCTATAGCAGACACATTGTTTCCCATGTGCGTCCTATAGTAGACACAGACACGCATCTTACAAGAAACACTGTCTCTTTCACACGCGCACACCCCCCCATAGTAAACACAATAACATACATACATGTACACACATCCTAACAGACACAATCATGCACACACACACACACACACACACATCCTGTAGCAGACACTGACACACACATATCCTATAGTAGATACAGATGTGCACACACCTTGTACCAGACATACACACCTTCTGGGAGACACGTGGCCTCGCACACGTGCGCATCTTATTAAAAACACACCGTGACATACCCACACACACATACACATCACACACCCTACAGCAGATACACTCTTCCTCACACACACAGATGCATCCTACAGTAGACTCAGACCCCACCCCGCCAGGAGTCACACATGCATGTGCACACACATATGTCTGGTGGGAAACGCAGTCTCTCTCTCTCTCTCTCACACAAACATGCGCGCACGCACCCTATAGCAGACACACAGTAATAAATGCACATACATGCACACATCCTATGGCAGACACATGTGCATGTTGTAACAAACACACTGACACACAAATACACGCACCCTATAGCAGACAATCATGCACATGCACACACACATCCTATGGGAGACAAATGGTCTCTCTCTCTCTCACACACACGCATGCTGTAGCAGACGCACTGTGACCCTCATACACACACCCACGCCTTATAGCAGACACAATGTCACACACACACTGTAGCAGGCCCACTATGACACACACACATACACACACACATGCACTGTAGTGGGCTCACTATGACACTCACACACACACACACACAGTAGCAGGCCCATTATGACACACAGTCTGGCCCAGGGCTCGTCTGATCACATGTGGCGCTGTATGGAGAGAAGGATGGATGCATGGAAGGGACGTGCAGGGCTGGGAGGATGAAGGGTGTGTGTGCGCCAGTGTGCCATGTGAGTGTGCACATGTGTGCACTTGCATAGGAAAGGGTGAGGGGGCAGGCCTGGGGTGGGGGGGGAGCCCAGCGGTACTGGCTTCCCGGGCTGGGGCTAGAAACCAGCACCTGATTCTCCTAATCCCACATGTGTGCACACATGCACACACGTGTCATTTTGAGCATACACCAGTGCATGAGGCCATGCCAAGCCAAGCTTGTGCACACGTGCGGGGGCACACGCCCCCCCACCAAGGGCACAAACTCACACCCAGACTCACGTGCCAACCCACTTGCATGCACATGAGCTCTTGCCCTGGTGCCCACTCCCCACCTCGCACCCGCTTGTGGTCTCACGCTCCTTCATACACCCTCCCTCTCGCACACATGCTCGCCTGTGAACGGGCTTGCCACCTTGCACACGCATGTGGTGTCCTGCGCTGCTTCGCACATTCGCAAACAGCCTCGCACGTGTGCGCGCACGGCTAGCACGTGCTCTCAGGAGCCCTCACACGCCCTCGCACCATGGCCCCCCCCACCTGTGGCACATGCAGGCCAGACGGCACGTTGCCATGGCGACCCCCAAACCTACTTCATTCATGAAATCTCAGGCCTTGGGCAGCAACCTGGGGATGACCCCCCCCCCCCAGGGGCTGCAGGTTGGGGGTGAGGGGCACCGGCAGGGCTGGGGGGGGCAGGGGTTGTGGGCTAACCCCCCCATATCTCAGGTCCCGTCACCAGCCCCCTGCAAACCACAACAGCCCGGGCGGGGAGCGCGGCAGCGACCCGGGCACCTGGGTTTCGTGGCTGGGGGCGCCCACGCTCTGACCTAGCCCACCCCCTTCCTGCACAGATCTGGGGGCATCCCTCCTGTGCCCTCCCGGGGTGCGTGCAGTGGCAGGGCCCGGGCCCCCCTCCCCCCCCCCCCCCCCCACAGCTCTACCCACTGGACCCCACTCCCTTCCCAGAGCTGGAGAGGGAACCCAGGCGTCCGGGCCCCAACAGCCATCACTGGCAGCTCAGCTAAGAGACTCTCATTAGAGAGCAGGCCATGAGCACTAATTACTCCCTCGTTAGCTCCCTAATTACAGCCTGTCCCCTGGGGGGACGTTGCCAGGCTCAGGGGGTGCAGCTCTGTCGAGACCAGCCAGGATCAGGGCCGCGCTCCCTCCGCCCTTGCTCCCCGCCGGCTTCGCTGCCAATTAATCACCGTGTTCGTTAATCCCGTTTTAGCCAGGGGGAGCCTCATTCCCTATGTAAATCCGGGCTCATTAGGCGCCGCAGCGGGTGGGCTCCCAAACCCCCTGGGCCCAGCTTGGAGAAGGAGGGGGGGCCGGGGTCCTGACAGCAGGAGTAGCTGGGCTCTTCCCCTGGGCCCAGGGCGCTGGGGGGGGGGCGTGTTCCCCCCCAGGGAGCCCCATGGGGAAGGGGGAGCGGGTCTCTGGGCCACGGATGGGGCCTCGCTCCCCTCCTGAGCTCAGGAGAGACCCCAGCCCCCCGGGGGCCACCCTGCCCCCTGCAGAATATGGGGGGACAGGCCCCAGCAGTGGGGGGAGGGGGGGTGGGACAAACACTGAGTAGACCCCAGGCTCCGTCCCAACTGGTTTATTCCCTCCCCAGCCAAGGGGGGGGTGTATCTCTGCCCCCCAACATGGAGGGTCCGGTGGCGGGGGGGTCCCCAGCCCCCCTAGCGGAAGAAAGCCAGACGCTCCCGCCGCCAGTCCTCTGTGGTCCGGACCTCAAACACCGGGTGGTGGGGGTGGGGGGGCTGGAGATGTAGTGGGGGCTGGCAGCTACATGGGGGGGGTGTCTGTGTGCAGCCCCCCCTGCCAGGAGACCACCCCCCCGGGGTAGGGGTCAGGACCCCGATACCTTGGTGAGCTGGGTCGCCTGCACCAGCCGGTTCTTGCTGCCCGCGTACATCATCTGCTGCTCCGGCTTGCAGCCTGCGTGGGGGAAAGGGGTTAGTACCCCTGGGGGGCTGACATGGGGCAATGGGAAAGGAGGGGGAAGCCCCTTTTGCCCCAGGCTGGGGGGATTGGGAAGAGAACCCCAGGCCCCCTCCCACCAGTGTAACCATGGGGCCCCCAGCCCAGGTCCCAGAGCCAGGAGAGAAGCCAGGGGCCTGAGCCCTGCACCCCGCTGCGCCCCGGGGACCCAGGCGTCCGGCTCACCCAGGGGGCTGGAGAAGATGAGGCAGAGCGGGTAGGACACGCGCCCGTCGTCGTGCTTGTACTGGTAGCTGTACGCCACGAAGGTGGGGGACGGGGGGTCAAGGAGCAGGCGGGGCTCCCCTGGCCCCCCACGACCCCCCTTGGTGACCCCTCAGGACCCTCCACGGCCCTCTATGTCCCCCAGCACCCGCTACCAGACCAGCTGGAGGGATGGAGGGATGGAGGGCCACCGCACCCCCCCAGTATCCCACCTGAGGGGGGGGGGACGGCACATGGGGCAGATATCCCAGATTGCCCCAGCCCTCCCCCGCCATCACTAGGCCAGGAGGGCCCGATCCTAGCCTGGAGACCTGCACGTGTGTGTATGTGTGCACACACCTGTTGGACACCTGGATTCTGCGTATGTGTGTGCACGTGCCCATCGGATGTCTGGGTTGTGTGGGTATGGGTGTGTGCGCACGCAGCTGCCTGGGTTCTGTGCATGTGCTTGCGTGTATGCACACGTGCCAGGCACCTGGGTTCTTTGTGTGTGTGGGTATGGGTGTGTGTGTGCATGTGTGTACACGTGTTGGACACCTGGATTCTGTGTGTGCGCGCGCGCGCGTGCATGCACACGTGTCAGACACCTGGGTTCTGTGTGTGTGTGTGTGTGTGTGTGTGTGAGATGCCTAGGTCCTGTGGGTGTGGATGTGTTCCAGATGCCCGGGTTCTGTGCGTGTGTGGGTGCATGTGGGTGTGCACATGTGTCGGACACCTGGGTTCTGTGTGTGCCTATGTCCGTATGTGTGCACGTGTGCCGCCCCCTGCTGGAGCCCGTGGGTCCCACATGCCTCTTCCCTGCCCCGGAGCTGCTGCTGCCCCCTGCTGGCAAGAAGCAGGACGGCTCCTCTGTGCCCCCCCCACCAAGGAGATACCCGGTGCCTTTTGCCCCCCCCACCACGGGGGTCTCCCCCGTGGTGCCCAGGCGGCCTCACCTCCAACTCCTCCTCCAGCACCACCAGCTGCCGGTCCCTGTCGATCTTCACTGGGGGGCAGAGGGGGGTTATGAGGCGGGAGAACTAGGGGGCACTGCAAGACAGGTGGGGGTCACCCTCCACAGCACCTCCTCCTGGCCTAAATCAGCCCCCCCAGTGTCCCCTGCTGGGGGCCACCAAAGTAGCCTCCTGGGGGGTGCAGGCAGGGACTTGTGGGGAGCCCCAGGGGGGAAATGGGGGGATATGGGGGGTTGCAGGGGCCCCCGGGGGACAGTAGGGGGCTCTGGGGGGGACAGTGGGGACCCCAGGAGGGCAGTGGGGGTTCTGGG